GATGTTCCTCAGCACGGGGCTGTCCCGCGTGGTGGTGGAGCGCGCCCAGGCGGAGCCGTTCTGCTTGCCCTGGTGCAGGTTCCACAGGCTGCGGTCCTTGGCCCCGTCTAGCTTGGACACGGACCGCCGCTGGAGCTTGGGCGAGCCGTACTTGGGCGAGCAGCACGGCCGCTCGATGCGCGAGTGCACCTTGTCCAGGGAGGATGAGATCTGCTTGCTGCGCACGGACACGAGCGAGGAACTGCGGGGTGACCAGCTCTTGCTGTGGAGGCTGCTGCGGGGCGGGTCGGTCTGCAGGCCCACACTGACCGTGCGGATGGTCTGTGTGCCCACGCTGGCCAGGCCCACCGTCTGGCTGGACGTGCTCTTCACCTTCCTCTCCAGTGAGCCCGAGCGCATGGCCTGGCGCACGCAGTTGGTGATCTCTTTCATGTCGTCGCTCATGTTGCCAGACATCTCGAAGTCGTGCAGAGCCGCTGGGAAGCCAGGCCCGGCCGGCGAGGGGCCGCCACCCGAACCCCCGTCCAGGCGCTGCCGGGAGAAGTTGCAGAGCCAGCGGCTGTAAGAGCTCTCGGCCAGTCGGTCTGCCTCGGCCGACTCTTTGGGCTTGGCCGTGGTGAAGAGGAAGCCAGGCTCGATGATGATCTTGCCCTCCCTGTCATGGACCACAGGGACGCCCAGGCGCCGGGCCACCGGGGGGCTGTAGTAGACGCGGATGCCTGTCTTGTCGGGAGCCGTGTAGCTGCGCTGCATCTGCCTCCCCGCCGGCTCCTGGCAGCCCAGGGCACCCAGACGGTTGCAGTCCCGTGGCGACAGCCCTGGCTGTTCCGGGGCAGCCTTCTCCGGGTCCACTGGCTGAGCACCCACAAAGGCAAAGGCAGGATTGTTGGGCAGCTTCTTGCCCCGGGCAGCTTCACTGGTGAGGTAGGGGGAACAGTCCAGCAAACTTTCAAACTCCGACATGGAAGAGACAGATTTGGTCCTGGGAAAAGTGAGGAGGAAGAGCAGCGTTAGTGGAAGGTGCCTTACACAGGTCAGGCACTCTGGTCTTCCTCCCTGGTCCCAGCGCTTCACCAGGGCTGGGACCACAAGGGTTCTGCTCACCTCTCCTGGAAGATACTGTCGGTGCCCTGCCCCTCATCACACCTACACACCCAACAAAGCACACTGAGCACCTGCCATTTTCCATCTGAGGGCTTTTTTCTGTCTGCAGGAGCACACTTGGCCTCCAGCCAGAGGAAGCTAGAAATATCACAGTTTGTGGCCCTACATACAACCCTCAAAAAACAATGGGTGAAACTTGGTGGCTTGTCCCCTGGGTAGGAGAACTCACATTCTGCTCTGGCTCCCAGAGATCCTCAGCGAAATTGGAAACTGAGCTCCAATCACCCACATATAACTTGCTTGATAGCACCCCCTTTATGATGCCTTCCCTTCCCTGTCTCACTTCCAGGCTTTTCCTGGAATCCCCTCTTGAATAAACTATTTGTACTCAAATCCTTGTCTCAGGCTTTGCTTTTGGGGGAATCTAAACTAGGACACCATTTAATCTCTGTCACAGATCTGGCATGTGTGCTGCCTGATGACTGAAAGTGCCAGGCATACATGACAGCATCACCCATGTCAGACCATTCAGCCCTCCGACAACTCTATGGGGCACTTCCTATTATCCCACTAGGCAGAGATGGGAAGTATAGCCCAAGGGCAGAGCCAGAAATGGCAGAGGTGGAATTCAAACCCCACACTATGACGCTGGAGCCCCCTTCTACCCTGGGGCCTGCCTGGCTTCGTCTAGGCTGCTTGCATGGCCCCTATGGGATTCTGTTGCCCTCACTCTTTTCATGGGTGTCCTAATGGTGGAGAGATGGTCCTGATAGTTCTGGAAGTCTCCCTGGCTAAACCCAGAGGATGCTGTTCACTAATCCAGGAACAGATGACCGGCTGGACTCTCCCAACTTCAGATAGAGGAAGAAAGACCGCTAACAGGAGCTGAACAGTTTCTTTCCCTGCTGGGATATGCTGGGGTCCCGGTTTTCCACGCCCTGAATCAAACCAAAAAAATCATAGGCTAGAATTGCCATCACCC